TTAGGCGACCCCTGTGAAAGGGTGGTTCGACCGCCAAAGGGGTCGCGACCCACAGGTTGAGAACCGCTGTAAAATAGAAATTCATTTAATTGCACTCCTGAGTCTAGAGTTGCTTTTGTTCATTATGTATTGTTGAACTACGATTTTCAAAGACGTAAAGTCATGACTCTCAGGTACATATAAACTGAACACATTTCAGATTTTCTTTGACCCATTTATTAATGAGGGAAGCAGTTAGATGTTGTTATGGATTCAAAAACATCTGAAAAGCTAAGGTATTTAAAGATAAATTGAGCCCTGGCCAATTTGGCTCAGTGGATAGAGTGTTGGCCCACAGACTGAAGGGTTCTAGGTTTGATTCTGGTCAAGGGCACGTACCTCGGTTGCAGGTTTGATCCCCAGCCCTGGTTGGGAGGCAACCAATTGATGTGTCTCACATCGATGTTTCTCTCTCTCTTTCTGTCTCTCCCCCTCCCTTCCATTCTCTCTCTAAAATAAATAAATAAATAAATCAATGGGAAAATGTTGACATAAAAAATTCTTCATATTAGAACGGTTGGGAACATTTTCTGAAGTTCAAAAAAGGACAAGTTTTGTTGGGAGAGGGAAGTAGGGAGGAAGGATGATAGTTTCAGACACTGTTTAATTCTGCCTGTTTAGAAGGACACTATTTGCCAGATGTTGGACACAGTGGTTTAGGCAGTTTTTTTCCACCACTTCTGGTACTTTGAAAATTTCTCTGTTGAAAGTTAGCATTTTAAAAATGATTTACCTTGTTTTACACTGCCTTTTCTATCTACATGAAAAAAGGGGTGTGTACATTTTGGGGGGAGTGTGTGCCTTCTGCATGCTAAGCACTGTTTCTGTACCTAGAATATTTCAGTAAACAAAACACAAACTTCTCATCATTGTGGAGCTGTATTTTAGCCTGGGGTAAAAGGAGACAGACAGTAAATAAATGCCCGCATAAATATGTGACTTGGCAGGTGTTACTTTGTGCTACATGGACAACAGTAAAGCCAGGTCAGGGATGAGAGTGGGAGCTGAAGAGGGAGTTGCTCTTTTATAAGTTGGCTCAGGAAGCCTCTCTGATGTGACATTTGATCTGAGACCTCCAGGAAGTGTGGGTTGAGTCATGTGACAGCTGCAAGAAGAGTTTCAGATAGAGGGAACAATGAGTGTAGAGCAAGCATGTCAAACTCGAGGCCTGCAGGCCACATGCGGCCCACAACGAATATTTTTGCGGCCCAGCCAATATAACGATATGTAAGAAATGTTTTAATAAAAATTTCCTAACTTAATTTTTATAATATCCTCTTATACATAACTAGAGGCCCGGCGCAAAAAAATTTGTGCACTTGGGAAGGTCCCTCAGTCCGGCCTGTGCCCTCTCACAGTCTGGGACCCCTTGTGGAATGACCACATGCTGGCTTAGGCCCGCTCCCCGGGGCATGGGGCCTAAGCTGGCAGTCAGACATCCCTCTGGCAGCCCGGGAGCCCTCGGGGGATGTCCACTTGCCAGCGGGGAGCAGGCCTAAGCTGCAGTCAGACATCCTTAGCGCTGCTAAGGAGGCGAGAGAGGCTCCCACCACCACCGCTGTACTGGCAGCCGTCAGCCTGGCTTGTGGCTGAGAAGAGCTCCCCCTGTGGGAGCGCACTGACCACCAGGGGCCAGCTCCTGCATTGAGCATCTGCCCCTGGTGGTCAATGTGTGTCATAGTGACCAGTCTTTCTGCTGTTAGGGTCAATTTGCATATTACCCTTTGATTATATAGGATTATTAATAACAAACTACAATGACTACAGTTCGCTAATGACTGATTACTATAATCGTGTTGCATTCATTTCCCTTATGTGCCTTATGCACAGGTGTACCATTTCTCTCCACTGATACTAGCAGCAAATATTTTAGCAGCCGATTGCCACACCATTAGTCTTGTATTGACTTGTTTGGTGTGTACAACAGGAAATATTTCACTTTCAGAGAACAAGAAAAATTTGCATCATGCATATTAATTTGTGCAGTTATTCAGTGTCTGGTAAGTTAATATTCAAGAAAAAACATTAATTTTTATTAAAATGTTCTATTATTTTATGTTAATGATTACTCATTTATTTCAGCCCTTTGTATTCAGCATGTCTCTATCGAAATAAACCTATGTTTCTATAGAAATTGAAGCTTTGGTTTTTTTTTGTGGCCCACATAAACTTAAACCTTGTTTATTTGGCCCATATTAGCCTTTGAGTTTGACATGCTTTGTGTAGAGGCTTGAGGGATGGAGCATACTGGGTGGGTTTGAGGAGCAGCCAGAAGGCCGGAGTTGCCGGAGTAGCTGGAGTGGGAGAGAGTGCGAGGAGCGCTGGGAGGGGGGGGGGGGGGGAGGGGGGAGGAGAGAATAACTCACAGGGTATCGGAGGAGTAAAATTCACTCTGAGGGAAAGAACACCCCAGAAAATTCTCTGACAGAATAAACACAATTTTGAATTCCTTTT